CTTGACAGACAATGTGGATAATCAGTTAGAAATTTTAAATCGTAGATTGCAATGACCTATTCAGTGCTATATCAAATAATATGTGTCTTCCATTTTCTTTTGCTGATGATGTGCAGTTGTTGTTTAAAGGCAGTGATGAATTTCCTGATGTGTTACAGAATATGATTAATTATAATGTTGTTTTGTTGCTTAACTGGATTTCTTCCTATTAATACTGGTAAAGGGCCCTCCAGACGATCACAATTTTCGTACGACAAGTCTAATGAAAAAGTAAAATGAAATTCTATCCGTATGACAAAAAAGATAATAAAAGTAGTATGATTTATATTTTTTGTGTTTACAAAGTAGGATGGAAACAGCTGTTTCACTTTTTTTGTATATGTTTACATAAAAATACATCCCCGATCTAATGCGATTTGCTTGTTTTTTGAATCATTTCAAAAAATTAAGAGAGCCTGTCAAATTTTCCATCCGTATTTTCTTTCAATGTGTGATGGTTTCATTACATATTGCGTTTAGACGATCCCATCCGTTTTGTTTTACACAAAATTTTGACAGATCATATTACTTGTGTGCTCGTGTGAAGGGGGCTTTGTTGTTTGGTAATTGTGGTGGTAATATCTTCTCAGTAACCATGGGCAGTGATTCAATTGAGTTTGTAGATAGGATAAGGTGTCTTGGTGTCATTCTGGATACAAACTTGAGTTTTGAAGGCCATATAAACTCAATGGTATCCAGAGTTAATTTTACTTTGCGTAAGCTATACAATTTAGATTCGATGCTTTCTTTTTATATTAAGGAGAGGGTTGCCCATGGACTTATGCCAATTTTTTTTATATGCCTTGGAAGTGTATAGTGGTACCCTGGGATATGTTTTAAAGAAGTTAAGATTGGCTTTTAATAGAGGCAACATATTTCATCTTATGTTGTAAAATTTCTGGGACTTTCTTTTGAAGATTTTATAATGTTTAGAAATTTTATACATTTTTATAAGTCTTATTAGTTGCAAACGCTAAAATATTTATTTAACTTATTTGAATTTTGTAGATCTAATAGAAATAGATAATTGAAAATTCCACCATTAACTGTCATATTAGAAAGATCATTTTAGGTTACAGTGACACGTTCTTATAATAAATTACCAAATTCTTTGAAATTATTTAATGTTTCTTCCGATACATACAATTCCGAGAATTATCCCAGAATAATTCTATCCAATAGATGTAGTAATGAACTAGTATGTGTTTTACTTAGTAATACATTCTTGTATATTAAACTGGTAATGAAATAATAGAAAAAAAAAAAAAAAATTTGACATATGAGGCAAATTTAGTTATGTTCTGTTTTTAATGGGAAGTTGTGTTTTGTTTGTGCATACTAAGTGTAGGAAATGACTCTTCCTTTTGTTATAAGGTCATACAATGTTATTGCTATGTAGGTGTTCATGTCCATGTAAACCTTGTGCGCAAGGTACAGGTCGCAATTTTCAAGATAGTTGGATGAAATTTGGCACACACACTTTTTTTGACTGAAGGACGAAGCCTATTGAAAATGGTTAAAATCAGCCCATTATCTCACCTAGCCCCCATACAACAGAACTCCCCGAAAAGGGCTTCTGAGCTCATAATTATGTTAAATATACATGTATATCGAAAAAAAACGGCACAACTGAGTTTTATAAAAGCCGGATCGGGCCTCATTTGACCCTAGCTCCCATACAAAGTCCCCTTCTGAAAATTACTTGAATGTCCAAAATTAACTTATAAACACAATATTATAACAATTTAGAGTGCTATATTCGGCTGAGCCGAATCTTAAATACCCTCCACCAGCTACTTTTATATTAATACTTTTTTAATTGATCAACTATTTGTAGAAATAAGTTTTCTCATGTATTAAATAGAAAAACCCCAAGATTTAAACAGCTTAAATCTGTTACAATTCCAAGATTTATTGAACATTACATTTTCTTTTATATTTTTATAGCGCCCTAAAATATGCTTTAACGATATTTAATAATGTGCATGTATGCATGTGTGTGAAAGATTTAAGGATTTTCAAAATACGTATATATAATTTTGTTCTACACAAATTGATAATGTAACTAGTTAAATACGGTTAAAGTGCTTTTAGGGGCAGGACATAGTATGGGAGATATGACCAATTATAGACCGACCGTAAAAAAATTCTTTAAGCAAAATTTCTGTACATAAAAGCTATATTTCAGTCAAATTTTGTATCTATATCGTAATTTAGTAATAAGTAATGTGTGTTCAAGTGATTTTCTGAAGGGAATTTCGCATAGGACCGACCGCATCCATGTTATGTACCGATCGTGAAAAAATCTTGAAATACAATTTTTGTATACCAAACTAATATTTGTGCCAAATTTTGTATCAATAGCTTTATTTGGTAATGAGTAATGGGCGTTTAAGAGATTTTCGTAAAAGGACCTTGTATGGGAGCTATGACAAAATATGTATATAAAGACAAAATTTCTAAATTCTGTATCTATATCATTATTTAGTAATGAATATTGTACATTTATGTGATTTTCTGGAGGGGACCTAGTATGAGAGCTATGACCAAATATGGACCGATCGTAAAACTATTTTATAGTGTAATTTATGTATATAAGAGCAATATTTGTGCTAAACGTATGGATATCAATATTTTGTAATGAGTTATGTGCGTTTAAGTGATTTTCGGGAGGGAACCTTGGGAGCTATGACCACGGATGGACCGATCGGAAAAAACTTTCACAGTAATATTTCTGTATATGTGAGCAATACTTGTACCAAATTTTATATGGATATCTTAATTTAGAAATGAGTTATGTGCGTGTAAATGATTTTCGGGAGGGGAACTTGTATGGGAGCTATGACCAATTAAGGACCGATCATCAAAAATTTTCACAGTAATATTTCTGTGCATATGAGCAATACGTGTACCAAATTTTATAAGGATATCTTAATTTAGTAATGAGTTATGTGCGTTTAAGTGATTTTCGGGAAGGGACCTTGTATGGGAGCTATGACCAATTGTGGACCGATCGGAAAAAAAACATTCTCAGTAATATTTCTGTGCATATGAGCAATACTTGTTCCAAATTTTATATGGATATCTTAATTTAGTAATGAGTTATGTGCGTTTAAGTGATTTTCGTGAGGGGAGCTTTAATTATGGACCCATCCAGAAAATTTTTTCTCTCAATGAATTCTATTGACATAAGATTTTAGGTTGTAAAATTTTGTAAAGATATCAGCATTCTGACGGAAGTTATAAACAAAAAACTCATTTTCCGGGAATATGTACTTTTGTATAGGAGGTATATGAAATTATGGACCGATTCTGGCAATTTTCAGCAGGAATCGAGATGAAATTATCTTGCATAGTTTTCGAGAAAATTACATCAGAATGTATAAAAAATGCTTATTTTTTTTGGAGTTGTTTTAAATTTTGATCCACAACTTTTCCCTATGTGAACCGATTTTGCTCATTTTCAATATCAAACTGTACCGGATAATAGTGAATATTTTTGCTGAATTTCGTTAATTTCCATTGCTTCGTTTTAACGTGAACGTGTTTTACACAGACAGACAGACGGGCGGACGGACAGATGGACATATCTAAATCGACTCAGAATTTCATAAGGACCCAGAATATATATATATACTTTTTTGGGTCTCAGATGAATATTTCTTGGTGTTACACACGGAATGACAAACTTATATATACCCTCTATCACCACTGATGGTGGTGGAGGGTATACAAATATAAATATATTCACAAAACCTTATCGGGCTTGGTCCATATTTGCCCCTAGCCGCTATATAAAGCCTCTTTCAGAAAATTAGTTTTTCATCCATAAATTGCTTAAATGTATCGGAACAATGAATTATTATGAAAAATAAGTCACATTTAATATTCATAACTGGTGTAGGGTATCATATGGTCGGTGACGCCCGACTATACTTTCTTACTTGTTTTTTTTATAATTTGTTATTTTGTGATTTTTTTTGTGGACCAAATTATGCTTGTGGATGGTTTTCTACAACCGCAATTCACCTTTTATATTTCTTCAATACTTTGAAGCGTTTATATTATTAAAAAACTTTGGCTTATAAAATTTTAAAAGTATGTGCCATTTACTTGAATAATTGCATTTTTAAATAATTTAATTTATTCATTTGTTTTTGGGAAAACTATCATTACTTACATATATTTACCCTTTCGTAGCAAACAAAGATATCAGAATAATATTATTACATTTTTAAGACTTTTTGTATTGTATTTTATAAGGAAATCTTGTTGTACTTTTTTAGTAGAAATTTGTAACCGTCTATGGCCTTATAAATGTTAGGTTATGGTAATAAAATAAAAAAATAAAAAAGGACATCACTTCTTTGACAAGCCTGTGTTAAAAACATCACTTCAGTACTTCCATAGAGTAAATTCGACTTCTCTTTCGCTTCTGTGGAAGTTCTCTTTTTGCTGGGTTATAACCTATGTAAGTAACGTTAATTCAGAATAAGACCCAAATTTTTACGCGCAATTCAAAAATCTCTTTATAGAATTTTCTGGAGAAGAATTTTTTACATTAAAATATTCTTTGGTTTTTGCACAGAAGATTCTAAGATTTTGTTCGAAATTTTTGTTTCTAGTTTTTAAGTAGTCTATATAACACAGTATACGCCAAAACTTGTGAAACATGTAACACTACCAGTCAATATATGGATCAAATATACTCTTCCGTTTTCAATAAACAAAATAATAGTTCAACAAGTACTTTTTTGAAAATGTTTGTATTACACATGCTTGGTGAGGGGTAAATAATATTTGTTATAGCCGAATTTAGCACTGTTACTTGTTATTTAATTTCATTACAATCTTATATAATTTCAGTTATTTTGTAAATAATAATCCAATATCTTAAAACCTTAGCAAAAATAAAATTTGTAATTATTATATGAAATAAGAGTGTAAATATAAATACTTACTTGTAACTACTGTAACAGTGGCGTATTTTCATACCTCCTCTGATAAGACTTGATAACGTTTCATCTTCTATAAACGTTAATAATGCTCTGAGTAACAAAGCTTCCGCTGTGCATAATTCAGCATGAGCCTCTGTGTCGCTTAAATGACTATAGTTTACCTAAAAATAAAAAGATTTTGTTAAAAATTAATCCTCCTACACCTGTATGATGAATAAAAAGATTATTATTTAGAGTGATCTGGTGCACACGGGCGGATAAAAGTATAACAATGTACACATGAGTAGGGAAGGGTACAATACAGTACACTAATTGTTTGTCCTCTTTTGTTCCCTAGGAGTTACGGTCAATTAACTACCTTTTTAAAAAATGTTTTAAATGTTCTAAAACACATAAAGGTATTTTTTCCTAAAAAAAAATTATTTTAAAATTTATTTGTTCGCTGCTGAAATATAGTTATAATTTTTTATCTTCGGAGGTTTACTAGTGTTTACATTCAAATAAGTAGCATTACTTTAAAATCACAGACCATAAAAAATTATTTTTGTCCGCCATCTCAAAAAACAGTCCGCCCCAGATATGTTTATGTTTATAAACCAAATGTATTTTCGGTCAACCAAAAATAAACTAGTTATAAAATAAAATTGTAGAGTTTTAATAAAAGTCGATAAAAATGGACTCTGAATCCGAAATAAAAAAAACACTATACACATGTGTTTAAGATTCAGCATAACACTCTTACTAGTGAAGCTTGGTTATTAAAAAAGATTACTACATTTATTATTTGCGAAAATACAAACAATAAAATGACAAATATAGTTAAATATTATTGACCATTTAGAGTATTTTATACGCAAAATTTCATAAAAAACATTATCGGAATTGGATTTCAAAACGATAAAGAACATACATTAGACCCCTGATCGGCAAAGAGCTTTCTTGCTCTCTTAATTTTACACGCATGTTAGCTTACACATGTATAAACAAGTAGGAAAGTATAGTCGGGCATGGCCGACCATATAATACCCTACACCCTTTAACTCCAAAGTAAAGCAATTTATTGATAAAAAACTAATTTTTTAAATGAGGCTTTATATAGGAGTATAGGTCAAACATGGGTCGATCCTTATTAAATTTTGGGAAAAGGATATATTTTTATACCCTACACCACTTTAGTTGGGAGCGTATATTGGGTTTGTGCTGATGTTTGTAACATACAAAATATTCGACTTCTACCTTAAAGTATAACAATCGGCCGTCTGTCCGTCTGGCTGGCTGTCCATGTAAACTTTGTGCGCAAGGTACAGGTCACCATTTTTAAGATAATTGGATGAAATTTGGCACACACGCTTTTTTTGCCTATCGAAAATGGTTAAAATCGGTCCATTATTTCGCCTAGCCCCCATACAAAGTTCCCATTCAGAAAGTAACTTGAATGTCTAAAATTAACTTATAAACACAAATATCGCGATGAAATTCAGCACAAATAAATATTACATAAATATATTCACAAAATTTTATCGGGCTTGGTCCATATTTGACCCTAACCCCCATAAAGAAAATTGGTTTTTCATCTATAAATTGCATAAATGTATCGGAACAAGGTAATAGAATTTACGTGCTTTATTATGAAAAAATAAATCACATTCTTACCTGTTAAATAACAGTTAGTTATGTTGAGTTTCATTGCGATGCAAATGGTTACAGGTCAATGTTAGACGTTTAAGACAATTTTTGAGGGGGGGTTTGTATGGGGGATAAGGTCAAATAAGGGCCGATCATTACGAAAATCTGCAGTGTCATTTATACTTATATAAAATTTATTTGTCCGAATTTTTGTAGAGATAATAGTATATTTGACGTAATTATGACATAAAAAGTCCAAATCGGGAGGTACGGTTGTATGGGGGCTAAGTGAAATAATGGAAAAACACGTTTGATCCAAATTTCATCAAATTATCTTGAAAATTGCGACATGTACCTTGCGCATAAAGTTTACATGGACAGCCTGCCGGACGGACGGACATGTCTTAATCGACTCAAAAAGTGATTCTGAGTCGATCGGTATACTTTTTTGGCTGTAGGACCAATATTTTTGTCAGCACAAACGTATAATACCCTCCCACTATAGTGGTGTAGGGTATAAAAAACGATAAAAATCACTTATTTTTTACTCTCTGCCGATGTTGGCATTAGACCAGTGGTGGTCAGCGAGAGAGTGCTTAAATCGCATATGTGTACTGAAAAAGTAAAAGAATACATAAATAGAAATACGTGTACTTTACACTGAACAAAATTATATATTTGTATTTATTTTGTTTTATTCATATTACATATTTGTATTATAAATGAACATCGGAAGGTAGTATATATTTATGTGACGACGTAAGTATTATTGTATGTCTTGATGCATGCTTTGATGTATTTTTGTATGTGTTAATATATTGATGTACATATGTATGTGTTTATGTATGTTTTGTTATAAGTATGTATGTGTTGATGTAAGTATGTACTGATGTATATGTTGATTTAAGTATGTGTTGATGTAAATATGTATTGATGTAAGTATGTACTGATGTACATATGTGTTGATATAATTATGTATTGATGTATATGCCTATCTATCCATCTACCTATCATATATTTAATATTTTATAATATGCAATAGTAAAACCTGAAATTAACATTTATTTGTAACGGCTACTGAAAAATATTCGCCGTGTATTATAACATCAAGCGACATAAACCTTCTTTGTTGAATGCTGACAAGCAACAAAATAAAATTGTTTTTGTTTTGTGCTTACTTTGTCTTTTTACTCAGAGTATTCGTATTGCGTATGTATTAGTGTGAATATCGGGGCAGGCCTGCCAGATTTCCCGATTTATCGGCATCTTGTCGATATTTTACCTTCAAAATAGTAAAGTGCCGATTTCCCAATTTTTGCTTCAAAAATACCGATTTTTACCCTATCAAACCCAATCGAACAAACTCACGAATTTATTATAACATTACAAAAGCAAAAATTAAATGGATCTTTTAAAACAATTGGGAAAGGAAAATTTACATTACGGTAGAACACAATTTGCTCCATCACCAATGTCAATTGGATCGATTATGAAAAGAAAACACAATTTATATATGAAAATCTTGAATAGGTTTCCCAAAGTCTGATCTAAGGGTGCAAAAATTTTAAATTTTTAAAAAAATTTTTATGGTTTGAAAATAAATTTACACATTTTTGTGGAAAAGTTAAAAAGTCTTTAGAAAAATTCCCATTATAAAAATGTACTTAGCAAAATCTTTACCTATCCGGTTTTTGTTCGACGATAACCAGAAAATAACTGATTACAAATGTGATTACCCCACTTTCCTGGATTTAAAATCGGCTTTGTAGTAATTATCTGTATTTATTAGTCTATTATCTTTCTCAATGCTCCATTAACAATTCCATATTAGACACACGCTCTAGACAATTAGTTACAAATCCTATTGAAAAAATTAATTAATATTGTTGATATCGATCACTTACTGTCAAGTAATGTATGAAATAACTACATCACTCATAACCAAGATTTGAAATTGTTTTACTGGGTAAATGTATAGTATTCCACAAATAATTATACATTTATATTTTTCGGCAAAAGTGATACAAATTCTAATAGATTTTATGCCAAGTAAACCAAAGTTTCGGTGTACTTATAAAGACTTCTTTTATTAGACCTATACAAGAGAAGGCAGAGAATTGTATAAAGCGGCAAATACCCTAGGATGTGATTTTATTTCCACTGGTAAACCTTCATATTGGCCCACTGACCAATCTAAAATACCCGATCTTATTGATTTCTTTATTATTCATAAAATATCAAAAAAACTTTATAAACATTGAAGATGGTATAGATTTAAGCTCTGACCATTCTCCAATTCTTCTAACAGTAAGTGAACATATAATTCAACCAGAAAGCAATCCATTTCTTTATAATAAGAATACTGACTGGAAGTACTTTAGACAAAACCTCAATAAAATGATTGTGCCAAATATTATTAGTTCTATTGAAGAATTCGAAAAATATAATAATAATTTTACGGAAAACATCCAAAACGCAGCTTGGTCTAGTACGCCAAATATTAAAATAAAACAAGTAAGAAATTATAGTCCTGCGAGGCCGACTTTGCCTTAATAAAGCATTTAAATTGAATTGTACCTCGCCTCAGATATACATACTTACCAGTTTATTGTTGAATAAAATTGTGGACATTTAAGTGAAATTTTGATGGGGGCTTTTAATAGGGGCTAGGGTCATATGAGGACCTATTATTATGGAATTCGTGAGGGTCATCAAATCTTGTATAGAACTTGGTTTTTGCAGCTTTTTGTCGAGATATGAGTATATTAAACATAATTATGAACTTAAAAGCCCTATTCGGCGGGTTCAGTTGGATGGGGGCTAGGTGAAATAATGGACCGATGTAAACCATTTTCAACTGGCTTCGTTTACGGTACCATAAAAGATCATGTGCCAAATTTCATTGAATTATCTCCAAAATTGCGACCTGTAGTTTGATTACAAAGTTTATAAGCCCTATTCGGGGGGTTCAGTCGTATGGAGGCTAGGTGAAATAATGGACCGATGTTAACCATTTTCAATAGACTTTGTCTACGATATCATAAAAGATCATGTGTCAAATTTCATTGAATTATCTTCAAAATTGCGACTTGTAGTTTGATTACAAGGTTTACAAGCCATACGGACATAGCTAAATCGACTCAGAAAATGATTCTGAGCCGATTGGTATACTTTACTTTAGGTGGGTATAGGACCAATATTATTGTGCGTTACAAACATCAGCACAAACCCAATATACCCTCCCCACTGAAGTGGTGTAGGGTATAACAAACAGGTATAAATTACTCAAAAGAAATAAAAATATTGCTGAAACAAAAAAATTAATATAATTGACATTACACATAATAACTGACATGTTTTTCAAAGGTAACTTGATTAAAAAAAAAATCAAATAATACTTTGGTTGAAAAATGTAATGAAAAACGTGTGTTAAGAATTTTTCGATCTCACTCCTTAAAAGAAAACTTAGGAGAAAATGAAACCCGATGTCGAGATGACAAAAATAAATACAAGAGAGCTTCACAGTATTTAAGGC